GTACAGATGGATTGACAGTGGCTTACTGTGAAAATTTACAACTAGAAATGGTAGAACCTCTTAAGGAACTATTTAGTAAAATACAATTGGGAAGAAGGGTACCACCATATTGGAGAACATTTCTGCCGGCTGGATTGAACTCCCCGATTTGGTGGGGGTCTGGTTGCACTCCAGAAGGAGGAAGGGGTGCTGATGTGACTGATTCTGGCATTACCCCAGCAGCAAGGGTGTGGGTTGATTCATTAGTTGCTGTGTGGAAGGAGCCAAGATCTCCACTCCACTGCGTAGCAAATTCTCTGCTGGGAAAGGAGAATGTGGGCGGTGCCAGGTTCCACTTAGGTGGTCCTGAAGTGGGGAGGGGGTTTATTCCACTCACGTTTAGCTGTAGGAATTGGTCTGGGAGGCCCATTAGAGAATGACTGCGTGAGGGTGGCTGAGATCTCCATTCATCAGACCTTCTAGCCATCATCCAGTCGTCTGTTGGAGCTTCCCTGGTACCCCCCTCTCCTTCTAGCAGGCATTCCGTAGAAGTCATAAATTCTGAGGCTTCATCTCGCAATTCCTTTCGTCGGGCTCCCAGCCGGGATTACCTTTACTTAGCCTCTGCAGCTTCAACTATTTCTTTCGAAGGCACATAGTTAGTCTCAACAAATACAAGCGATCCATTATCTTTGGCCTTGTCAGCTGCATTTTTTCCTTCCTCCATCTTCAATGAAATTTCGTACTGCCCAGGGTTGGGTCAGAACTGGGATTCAGTACCCCTGACAGCTTCCCAGCTTGGGATGCTGATAATTTAATCTTAAGGGAGAATTGGGATCATGTCAGCGTTCCAAATATCATGCAGAATTAAATCAGTCCAAGGCAGAGTCATCCTTAAAGTTCCAATTTAATAAAACAGACTTGTTGGCGTCATGCTATGAAATCCCAATTCTAAAACTTCCTGGGATTCCATCCAGTTTAAAGTTCATGATCTTGTCCCCATACCCACAAATCCATCACATGGTCCAATCATCTTCTTCCTCACTAGGACTCCACCCAGCTTCTTCCGGTCAGGTGCAAAGGTGCGGAGACAAAGAATAACCTTGAGCTTCTAGAAAGGAATTTTTTATTTTGAAAACAACACATTCCACCCCTTGCTATCCCCCCCCTTAATGAGAGTGTGGCAGGCCAAAGATTCTTAAAGGAACCGCTGCAGGCCTGACACAAGGCTGCAGACACGCGTCCTGAAGTGCTGGTGGCTTCAGGTCAGTTCACGAGGAGTGACTGACGACACCAGGCAATTAGCTGGGCTGTGTGATGAAGTGAAGGCAAAATATATAGGGTGGGGGTGGGCAGGGAGAGCGGGTGGATGGGGGAGAGCGGAGACCAGGTGAGTGGGCCGGGGCCAGGCATAGGTTGTATTTACCTGTTCAGTGAACCAGGTTAAATTTCCACTACTGGTTTGCCTGAACCGGTGCGAACCGGCTGAATGCCACCTCTGAAACTATGGATGACATATGATGTTCACAAGATGTTGAAAGCACAGGACCCTACGAGCACCAGGTCTATGTGGCAGGGCATCCAGGCCATTATAGACTATAACCGTGATGGTGAACCTATGACACGTGTGTCACAGATGGCATGTGGAGCCATATTTGCCAGCATGGCAGCCCTTGGTAGCTGTCACCTCATGCACGCATGTGCATGCAGGCTAGCTGATTTTCAGCCTTCTGGAGGGCCGGGGGAGGCCATTTTTGCCCTGCCCAGGCTTCAGGAAAGCGTCTCAAGCCTAGAGAGGGCTAAAAACAGGCCCAATGGGCCAACTGTAAGTTTATTTCCGAACTTCCGTTTGGTCCGTTGGGCCTGTTTTTCGCCCTCCCCAGGCTACGGAGGCTTTCCTGAAGTGTAGGGAGGGCAAAAATAGCCTCCCCCGGAATGCCCTCCGGAGGTCTGGGGGAGGCCGTTTTTGGTAGATTCAAGGCATCAAATAGCACCACTGCAAGGAAAGCTGTGCCCCATCCTGGTAAGCAAGTACTTAGCTTTGATGTTACCTCTGTCTGGAGAACATTGTGGAAAGTTACTATTCAGAAAGCAGCAGCCCCAGATAATATCCCTGGGTGTGTTCTTAGGGAATGTGTAGATGGGTTGTGTTCATACAGATATTTTCAATATTTCACTGCAGCAGGCACTGGTCCCATCGTGTTTTTTTTTTTTTTTTTTTTTTTTCTGTCTGAATATTTTTATTTCATTTTCATTTTCATTTTATACAATCA